CGAGCTGGAACTACGGACCCGGAATATCGCACTGAATATCGTCCTAATTTCAAGGCCCACCGAATTTCTCCATTACTAGTAGAACTGAATTAGTAGAAAACTATTTCTTTCAAATCAGCAACAGCTAAAGACCGGACCGGTCAGAAATCTCTGCGTTGTCATTTCACACGAGTGAAGTAGAGCTGGAGCTGAGTCTATGACTCAGAGCGTAATCAGCGTCACTAGAGTGTTATTTTAGTTCTTTCTGATTCATTACCAGAAAAGGAATGTCAAAGCGATGTATATTTCTCCGAATTAGGCAGAATTAGAATCAAAATCTACCCAATCGAGTAGCGCCGATCGGAGAGGTAATTATTACGGAATTACTTTCATGCACCTAAGAGGATACTTACTGATCGGGTACCTCTGCAAAGGGAGTACCTTCATGCAAAAAATCGATCCAGTGACCTTGCAGCGACCTCAATATTTTGACCACAGCCTTGCAATAGATTTTGGAGTTGTAGAATAAATTCCTGAACTGTGCCTGCCAACTTCTGCAGACGACTGTGAGGAACTGGGCGGTTTTCAATTGTAAAGGTACGGTTTTCGATGTTTCGTGTCGGCAGCTTCATGATTCTCTCCATGGCCTGCAAACAAACCTGAAAATATTCAGACGTCGAATTTACATGTCTGGCTTGCTTGCCTTGAAATCTCCAGGAATTTCGACCCAAAACGGCCAATCAAAATATTTTGAGGTACCGATCAATAGTACGGCCATAGACGCCATAAAGTTGCTGTCGGATGACCTTAAATTACCCCATACAGGTTACTCTGGTATTATTCGACTTCTCGAAGGAGAACAATCATTCAAGACCGTTGTTAATCAGTGCGATATTCACCAAAAATTGAGGATCAAGTCAGAACTCATGTCATTGAAGTGTCGAAAAATATTTGTCATGTACGCAGGCTCCTAGGCTCCATTATCAGAGCTTATCGAACCACACATCGGCTATATCGCGAATACTACCGCCTTTCTTGATCCTCCAAGACTCTTCTCCTGCCACGAAGAACGCCAGTCCAACCGTAACTCCATCCTCAATCACGAACCTTGCCGCGATAGTCTCGGACGAAACGTCTTCAAAAGGAGTGCGGTCGACGCCGTAGCCATCAACATAAAGTGTTGAAAGCTTGACAATGTAGTCATTTCCCGACACTGACGAGAGCCGGAGGTGAGACCCCCAGAACCGTGGCCAAGCGCTGTAGAGGTCCAAGGAAGGAGTAGGCTTGCCGGCTGCCGAGTCGACTGTTCGGAAATCTTGGATGACGGCGAGACATTCGGACGAGGTTGGGAACAGGGGACTACAGAGGGTAAAGTTGCCGTACCCAAGATTCGAGTAGGTACCTGTGAATCCGGCAAACATATCTGGCGGAATGGCTGGGGCGGAAGGGGTCTGAGGTTGGAGTTGGAGTTGGGGCTCCAGTTCATTTTCAGTCCGATGGTCGAATGCGGGAACTTCAAAGCCAAGCATACGGTCGGCGATTGCGCGTGCAATTTGTCTCGTTACGAGTGGCCCCGCTGTGTTGGCGAGAAGTACAATGCCAAAACCATCCGATGGATATAAATCGACTATGGTGGCCACACCTGGTGCACCACCGTTGTGTTGGACAAGCTTAAGCAGAGTGAATGATAATTTTACTGAGATCGACAGAAAGAACATGATACCTCATGACCACGGTACGACAGCCGACCCCAGCCAAGTCCGTACCCGGCTATTGAGATCAAATTGGAGCCTTTGTTTATTGCTACGGAAATTGCGGACGTCGCAAGGTCGAAGGTCGTGCGAGAAATGATGGTGTCGTTGGTGCGGGGATCCACTCCGGAGTTTAGGAGCATTTTCACCCAATGTACCTGCAGTTCGGGCGTTACCAACATGAATGTAACCAAAATATCGTGCATACCATATCCTCCACACTCGATATAACACCTCCGGCCCCGGCAATCAGGTCGGCCGTATGTTCAGGCATGAAGAATGGAATTCTTCGTCGAGATGGCGTCCAAGACTGGGTAAATCTGCCGTTTTCAAAAGCCCGGTTGGGGTAAAGTGTGGAAGAGGTCATGCCAAGCGGAAGTAGTATACGCTCCTCGACAAAGTCACGATACGACGAGCCAGAATATTTGGACACAACATAGGCTCCGGTGATGTACATCTGTATTTTCTGTGTTTAAAATCTGGCGATTTCGACGCAGACAGATCTTCACCTGATTGTTATATTCATAGAGTTGCCGCAATTCATACGCCGCACGAAGATGCCTCATGCGAACGACGATGTTTTCCGGCGAATCATACGGTGAGTAGGACCCATCATGCCTGTACAACCCCGGTGAATGAAATTTAAAAGTGAGACCTAAGATTTACCCAGGAAGACCAGTCACATGCGAAAGTAGATCCTTCAGGCTAGCTTTTTCAGTGATCCATTGGTCTTCGGTCATCCACTCGTCCGGCAGAAGGTCGCGCATTTTGGTGTCCCATGTAAATTTACTCACACCGTTTGGGAGAGCAGATTTGTTCCTTCCGCCCGCAAAGTCCTGCATAAGAATACCGAGTGAAGCAGACAAAAATGCTTTCGAGCATGAACCAAGGTTCATCACGGTCTGTCGCGCAAATTTGAATTCATCTCGGCGGAGAAAAAAACGGGAAACGCACCCCAGGGTCGACAGGATCTCCGTCCTCAGTGCGGTTGCCCCACGCAGCAAATTCCACTTCCCCGTTGGGCAACACAATAGCCAGGGACAGTCCGGTGAAGTTGTTGGACTGAAGCACGTTTTGGATGTAGAACGAAAGTTCTTCGTTCACGACTTTGCCTCCATGCTTCGTCAAGTCGTTCAGAGGAACTTGAGAAGCAAATTGTCCGAGAGTGGCTGGGAAAATGAGAAATGCGAGAATAGGCGGGATGAGCATGGCGCGATTTTGAAGAAGCCAGGCGAGATCGCAGCCCTAAGATGCCATCACTTGGCAGTGCACAGCATGACGAGGGAATTTCCCACGGTTCAAGTCTAGCTGGGTGGTTGAGCTCTTTAGCTGCCCACGCTGTGCGTCTCAACATCGGGCAGCGTAAGCGCTAAATAAATCTTACAGTGGAGAAATATCACCTGGGCGCATTTAAAAAAGGTCCCAAAGTTTTTCGCAGTTGCTGCAAATATCAGGATGAGGAAAATAGATGGGTCTTGTTAGAGCCTAGCGCCTGGTCCTGTACACTTACCTGGTTTCAAGGTGTGCACTGGTTCTGTGCTCATTTTACTTGAGGGGACAAAAATTTAACTGGGCCGCTACGAAGACGTTTATACATGAGGATATGCGATGGAAGTGTACTTAGACAAGGCTACTGCATGAATTCTCTCGAGAAATACGAGGGGTCAATCCGAATCGTCAGTCAGATGATCGGTGTCATTACATCTGTTCATTAGGAACCATTATAAAATCTACTTCAGCATTAGACCCACTGCTTCGCAGACCTCCGACCTACTAGCATCCGAGCAATAACTATCATCCCTACACCTGCGAGCACCGCGCTCCCACTGAAAACTGCCACGGGCCAGTACGTCCCATGGAGCTTGATCAGCGCACCTTGTATGGGCGAGCTTGCAAGCCAGCAGAATGAGGCACAGAAAAATGCCATCTCAAGACGCAGCCTTGACACCACATCATTCAGTACTAATTAATCAGCCTCAACAAAAGAGGTTTACCCGATATCCTGCTGGTTCGTGCTGAGACTTGCAATCGCTGCAGGTATCACACCTACGTAGGCACCTGTGAGGGCGCTCGATGTTCGCATTTCGTCAGGCTCACAAAGAATGGACGCACCGCTGGCGAAACCGAACACTGCTTTGAACACGAGGATGCCCGCCGTCGACTGCATGAAGGCCCACACTATGTCGAGCACGCCCGAAAGACCAGCACCAAGAACGAGGAAGCAGTAAGCGCGGTCCTGGACCGGGAGGGTGTCAATTGTTGTTGGGGAAAATAAAGGAGAAGGTAAACGAACAGACACTGAGATCCATTACACGCCTGGCTTTGCGCGGCGGAAGGCGAGTAGAACAGCATAGAAACCCACAAATCACGCACAAAAGCACGATAAAAGCCACTGCGCTCGATGAGTGCAGCACGAAGTGAGGAGCTTCACTTACGTGTGCGTACTGCCCACTGGAGCCCGACTTTCGCGAGAAGCTTGCGCATGGCGATGGGAAGAACGGTTCCGCCTACAGAGGCTCCTGGTGCGAAGATCCCAAATGCAACCATTCTGTGTTTTTCAAAGTGGTGGCTTATCATAGATATGGAAGGAGAATAGAGGATGCCCATCGCGATCTGCGACAAACTGTCAAGAGTTGAATGAGGGATCGTTCACTCGAAACGCACTCCAACACCGAGTCCTTGGCTCAATACAAATTGTTATAATTCTGTCACTGGAATGATTTGGGAGAGCATGGCATGCGAGGTAACTGACCGACTGATATTGATGTCATGAAAAGACAGAACATATAGTGTACCGCCGAATGCGAGCATTGGCTTTAGGTACTGATAATAAAATAAGTCGCGACTAGGAATGTGAGAAGAAAGCGCTCACTCCAGCATTGAACAGGGGGCCGCTCACACGTCCGATAAGAAGGACGAGAGAGAGGTGCAGAGACCCGATCCAAGAAATAGTGCTGAGAGGCTGGTCCTTTAGTTGATTGACGCTGTAGTATTGCTCGAACACGCCAAACTGGGGATCATCAATGAGCAAATATCGAATTTGCGCAGGATTTGCGCAGCGCGCAAATAGGGCCTTGCACCCAGTGGGAGTGGTTCCGCATCCATATCATATTCGGGCGCTCAACTTTAAATCACTGTGGAAGACGCCTGTTCGATTCAGGCCCGAGTCATGATTCTTGTCTGATAAAGTTTTTGAAAATTTTGTTGACGTGTTTCTTTGCATCTTTTTTTGTTTGGGTTGAAAGTGAAAAAAAATCAAAATCCATGTTATGCTTCAGGTGTGAATCGAACACACGACGTCTACAAGAGCACAAACGATCAACCGTAGATGCGGAACCACTCCGCCACCGAAGCTTGATAAAGTCCCAATGAAATAATTCACACAACACGAAAAGTTGACCATAAAGGCCTGAAAGCAAACGAGTTTAATCACTAATACGAACTGGGATGTGAGGCTCTTACACCAAAAACAGTCCCCCACGCGCGCAACCCGCGGGCCGCCATCGGGAAAAGCCTCTTGTGAGGCCCCCTTTTCGATTTGTTTGAGGTCAGAAAGATGGGCGTCCAGCTGAGCTATAGTGTCACCGTCTTGGCTGGCTAGCATCGAAAGGCCCAAGGAAAAGATTTGAGTCTAAAGAAAGAGCAGAGCGCTCGTGTTTTTATTTACGGCTGTGGGGTACACGGCAACAGGATCTTGGTCATCGTTGAAAATTAGTCAACATGTTGATCGCATACGCGCGTGTTATGCTCACTTCTGTTCGGTGTTTTCGACTGTCGGTTACAAACCTGCTGAACGGGCTGCGGTGGGGACGGGGCGGATGTTTTGAATGATCCGAGTCGTCGGTCGTGAAATCTGTAGACGACACTCGGTCGCCGATCATCCCGATATGATAGACAAAGAACGGAGGGAAGACGTACACCGTGTTACCATCTACGAGGAAGACCAAAGGAAACATCGAGTCCCTCCAGCCCCTATTCGATTGCCGTTCGGTTTCTCGGGGCCTTGGAGAGCACAATGTTGCGCGATAAGAACTGTTGGCCAGACGCAAATATGATTGGATAATGATATCGTTAACTTTGGGAAACCGTCACGTCCCATAAGTTGCCTTAGCGTACGGGTCGTAGCCCCGCTATTGACGTTGATCTAACTTGAAGGAAGAGTGCGAATTAGCTCGTGGAGCACGAGCTACAAAATGTCCAACTTTACCTTGCTGATCCCGTTCTTCAAGTTGATACATCCGACAAAAAAGCTCGTCGGAGAGCTCATCCGTATCCTGTAAGCAAAGAGGAATTCTTCTCGAAAAAGTGCTGTTGAGGGTCTTGAGGCTAGAAACGGCAAGCGTTTAGCGGGGAGCCGCGAGTTAACCGACACACATTTCTTGGCAGAAGTTCGCAGGGTTCATCATGTACGATACGTGCAAGTTGCTGATGCAGGGTGCGAGAATGACAGTGCCTGTCCTTGGGTGCGGGAGTAGAGTTTATCTCAAATCTCAAAAAAAAAAAAAAAAAAGGCTTGAAACCCGCCTTATCGGCGGACGGTTCAATTTCCATGAGAACTTAAGGAAGCTGGCTAAATATATGCAGACGTACGCGTTCAGACAAAACTGCAAGAAAAGTCCCTCCTTTTAAGCAGGGGGTGACGGGAAACATCTGGATAATAGCAGGATTCTCCATACGCTCTGCAGAGGGAACGAGACCGATCACACAGTGCGTGTCGTAGCTGCACAAATTCAATCTCGGTCCATTAGGTAAATGTTCGCTCGAGACGTACCAGGTTTGGGAGAGAATGTCACAATCGCCTTTCTCGGCTTGGGTCCATATTTGGATTTGGATTGTGCGGTTGGAAACGAGACGGGTTGACGCGGAGTTTGTGCAGAATTTTACGGACGTTTCTGCTATTGGGACTGGAAACATGTCTATTTCACCTGTATGGACATGACTACCGGACTAGCCAGCGAGCGGGCCTAAATAATAACCCAATTCGGGGACTTGGAGGAGCAAAGACAAGTGGGAAATGCCGTCATGTACAAATACGGTCGACTTCGACACCGCCACGGACTTTGGTTGAAAAAGTTGGATTATTAATTTTGGGTTGGAAAATACAATAATTGTGATTCCAGAGCGACTTCGGGATGTGGCGCGAGCCGTCTACTTAGTTGAACTACAGTGTATCTTCAGCCATGTTCAACTTGAACTTGATTTGAACTCGTCTTCACCCAACCCAAATTCATCTGCCACATTGCCGCCCGTATCCTTGCCTCCGGGTGAGACTTCGAGTGCGGAGCCTGTGGCCGGAGAGGATGGATGATGAAGAATATTTTGCAACTGTGTATTGATGAAACTCACCGAGCTCCACTTAAGTTAGGGGCGGTTCGACCGACCATTTTACTCAAGTGTCTTCCAACTTGAGCCCAAGTTGTTTTTCTCCGCTGTGGGGCACGTCTATAGTTCGGCTTGAAGCCGCCAGACTCAAGTGTTACCCAACGACTTAAGTGCGCTCGACTTAAGTACGCGTTCACTCAAGTACGCGCCCCACTAGCGTCATATAGTAAGTCTTATACAGTCCTACCCATATCATTCAAGTAACACAAAATGAAACGCAATTCAACCTGAACTGAGCCTGGCCACTTGAGTCGCAAAAATTTGGGCCCCGTCAACCCAAGTCCGTCTCCCGACTCGAGTGAAGACACAACTCGAGTTGGGCGTCGAGCTCAAGTCGAGTCTGCACCAAGCTCAAGTCCAATCACTTCCGGCGTCGCTTTCTTTTCCTCTCCTCCGCATCCCCCTCCTCCTCCTGGCGGGAGTGCTTCGAGACTGGGTTGTCCTTCGGGTCCACGTCGTCTCCGTTCTCTAGCTCTGCAGGCGGTTCCGAGTCGGGGGCGCGGGCTAAGGGAGCAACGGGCGGCGTGGACCGCCGCAAGACAGAGACGCCATATGGCCCATTGTTCATGATGCTTCCAGTACCCTTTCCGTTAAGACCATTTCGTATGCCGCCAGGTCCACCTTCACCGCCTACGCCAGCTACGCGAAAAAAATTAATGGTGTTGTACGAACGAATTTGCAGCGCACCATAGACCCTTGTCTGTCCAAGTAGCACTTGGCCTAGGAGCCCGCACCGTTTTCGCCACTGGTTCCACCTGCTCCTCCCAATGATTTTCGAGCTGTGCAAGAAAACATCCCTTACCCCTGATGATAGTTACACCTAACCTCTGGCGTCCTGCGCAAAAAGAAAGCATCAACGAAGTTGCTTCGAACCGAATTACTCCTCATACCCGCCGTGAACCCGCCAGCATGCAAAACATTCGACTGCACTCTATCGGTGCCCTGTTCGTCTCCTGTGTTAAATCAATAAAGATGTTGTTTCAACAAAAATTCATCGCACCATTTAAAAACCGTCCGTGATTTGGGTTGTCGGACTTGGACTTGAAATTCTTGGTGGCCTCTGAATCACCAGGCTGACCATCTCGTTTATTTCAAAGTGGTAGCGCGTCCCTGGGCTGCTGCGCAAAATCAATAAATTATTGATGATGTTTGAACCGAAATACCCGCACCATTTCGAGGCTGGCGCCGGTCCATGTCCTCGACATCAATAGTCGCTTCGGGATCCTCTTCATTAGAAGCCCCACCTTGGCCACCAGCCCCACACTGACCCACAAAATCGGTCGTGATAATGTTGGGTCCGAATTGCCGCGCACCTTCGACAATAATTTCCTCAGCGCCTGCAAAGTATTGTCCTCGGAGTACGTTGGCCAAGATTTCAGGGTCGGGAGCCAGTCCAACACCCCTCGCTCGCCCACTAGGACACCAGGTCTGCCATCGCGTCCTCTGTCCCTGCGAAAAAGAGAACATCAATGATAATGCCCGTTTCCTTGACAGATTCCTCTTACCAGAAATAACGAACGGCATAGTCGGTGTTGCTCGTTATGCGTGCTGCTAAAAAGTATTGAGTAAGTACTAGTAGTCTAGTACTTAGCATTGGTTCGTGCGACGTGAATTGGTAGGCGGGACTCGGAGTCGCTGTTGTAGTTGAAAAGAAGTTGGAGAGGAAGTATTTATATGGTTGTCCTGTGGCAAACGCCCATACCTCGCCACACCCTGTTGTTCTCTCTTCATTCTATGCGGAGGTGTTCAAAAAAGAAGAATGCCAACGGATCGTTGATTTGTTGATGCCCTTGTTGATGTATCAAATTTGATCAATTCGGCGTGGCGTTGATAAACTGAGGACGTTGGGCGCGGCTTCGAGCGCTCAAAAATCATGATGAGGCAGCGACAGCCGCGTGGTATCGTTTCTGTAGTAGACAGAACAGAAATGACACGAAAATAAGCTAAATCATTATTGTCGCGACCGCAACGGAAGCCGTTTTGGTAACCCAAATTGTGGATCTGATCTTTTCTTTCGTTTGCATTCATTACCTTCTCTTCCGTTCTGCATGTGCGTTTCTCCGGCTGAAATCGCTGAATACACCGTTTACATGACCGCAGGAGCCTCAAGGAGCGAATAGCGGCGCTGCAGCTGAAGGAGGACCGCGACCGCGAGCAACGCGAGCGTGCTACGTCTACCTTGCCGCCTTCTCCGCACCCAAATGGAGGCCCTGCGGTTGTGCTGCCAGCGTCTGCGTCCGGCGGGGCCCTGCGCGCCAAGATTGCCCAATTCGAGACCAAGGGACCTGTCCCCGCCCCGCGAGGATCGTGCGTGCTCGTCTCCGGGGTAATATCCTCGATAATTCTGAATGTGCTACATCCTACAGGTTCGGCATGGGTGCCCCGCCCGAATCCGCGCCAAAGCGCCGTGCAGATGGCATGTTGTACGGGAACCGAATGCAACCCGCACGGATCCCGAGTGCCACCCTCGGTCTCGCTCGTCCCACCGAGGCATTCAGTGCGGTTGACCCGCGCGCGGTGCCCCTCCCCGAGAGCCAGCCGGGCAGTCCTATTTCTCCCCAGATGGTCGCGCAGCACTTGGATGGGCTTGCTCATGCGCTCAGTGGCAGCGGCCGAGAGACACCGGAGTCCCTGCGCCCGAAGGTGGACGATAAGAAGCGCATCGTCCAGACGCGCGGGACTGCCTTCAACACTGCGCTCGACATTGCGCGCAAGGCCGAGGCCGAGATCAAGGCGGAGCGACGGAAGAGTGGGCATTGGCTTACGCCACAGCATACCGGCGGGGCGCTTCTCCCACAGTTCACGGGCAGCAGCGGACTGACGGCGCAGTACACGGGCGGGACGCTGACGCCGCAATATACGGGCGGCGGCAAGCTCACCCCACAACATACGGGGTCGGGCCTGATGCCGCAATACACCGGGTCGTCGTTGACGAGCGGGACGCTTGTGCCACAGCTCACTGGCGAGAGCAC